TGTCGATGTTCGGCGTGGCCAACTGGGCCTATCTGCTGGCCGGCATGCACCGCCTGCCCAGCCACGGCATCGGCCTGGCGGGGCACATCTCGCCCGAGATCAGCATGAAGGCCCTGGCGCACGTGCGCGACATCCGCCGGGCGGCGTCGGCGCAGTCGCCGACGATGCGGGACTACCTGCTCAGCCTGCGCAGCGCGGCCGTGCCGCAGGCCGCGCACTGACGCGGGTCATTTGGCGGCCAGAGCCGCTTCGATGTCGCCGCGCAGTTTCTCGGGCGCATCGTTGGGCGCGAAGCGCTTGATGACCTGGCCGTCGCGCCCGACGAGGAACTTCGTGAAGTTCCACTTGATGACCTCGGTGCCCAGGAAGCCCGGCTTCTCGCTCTTCAGGAACTTCCACAGCGGGTGGGCCTCGCTGCCGTTGACCTTGATCTTGGCCATCATCGGGAAGCTGACGCCGTAGTTCAGCTCACAGAAGCTGGCTATCTGGTCGTTGCCGCCGGGGTCCTGGCCGCCGAATTCGTTGCTCGGGAAGCCGATGACGACCAGGCCCTGTGGGCCGTAGTCCTGCCAGAGCTGCTCCAGGCCCTTGAACTGCGGCGTGAAACCGCACTCGCTGGCCGTGTTGACCACCAGCAGCACCTTGCCGCGCTGGGAGGCCAGGTCCGCGGGCTCGCCGCGGATGGACGTGGCCTGGAAGTCGAAGACGCTCTCGCTCATGAACATGCCTCCCTAGAAACACGGTGCCGATACTAACGCCGGCCGCTTGAGGGTTTGTAGCATGGCGGCCGGCGCGCGGCTGGCCTTCCAATCGCGCGAACTTGCGGGCCGCGCTGTGGGAGGCTGCCCATCCCCATTCCCCCCGACTCGCCCACCTCATGGACCATCTGGCTAGCTTTACCCCGGCCGATCTGGCCGGACGTACCCCACCTGATCTGTCGGCTTTCCGCTGGAAGCTGCTGGCCCAGGGCGACTCGTGGTTCTCCAACTCGCAAGACAAGCTCAACGCCCACGCCAACCTGCTGCAGGAGCTGGTCTTCAAGTCCAACACCGTCGCCATCAACTGCGCCGGCACGGGCAATGCGCTGTCGCACATGGTGGACCTGCAGTCCAGCCCCGATTTCGTGCGGCTGCTGACCGGCGCCGACGCCCCGGTCTGGGACGGCGTGCTGCTGTCCGTCGGCGGCAACGACCTGATC